AGCATCTGCTCCCAGTTGGGCTAATAAATACTGAAACTTTTGATAGAAATTGAACCACTTATGCAAGCAAACAGTGTCACAGCCTGGCTGCATGGTTTTAGCACAGACGATAAGGTCCAGTGGCTGTTCCTATGGTAAAAGTGATTCATTTATAAGCTATATAAAATGCAAAAGTATTTAGTGAGTCTTAGAAAGATTAGATTAGAAAGGAAAGGGAAAAAAAAGAAGAAAAAAAAACCCAGAAGATTAATGACATTGTTTTCTAAGCTGGAATAACTCATACTGAAGTTGTCAGAAGCTGGGAGTGCTTAGCATGTGGAAACTATTCTGACCTATTCTGACCAGAGTATCTGGTATACTGACACAAACTTCTCTTGAGCACAAATAGGAAAAAAATATACTCCAATACCATGACATTCCTATGTGTGCACTTTAAAGTGCTCTGCTCAAAATAATATGTTCCAGCTTGGCCATCACAAATGCAGGCAACTTCCACTGTTATGCGAAGTAACTGAGAGCAAGACATGAGCTGGTGGTACCTGTGCTTCTGAATCTAAGGGCAGAGCTGGAATTCGTCCATAAAAAGGGCAGGAACAAAGTTCTTTATTTCACATCAGGTTTGGAAATTCCAGTTTAACAAGAATCATCAGCCAGTCTCCCTCAAAGCTTCCTGCTTTAATCAGCAACCACCTTGAAAATGGGTGCAGCAGGGAGACTAGTATAAGCAAATAACATGGCCCTTCTGTCAATGTGCTAAATGAGTCAAAATAGGGAGTGTCTCAAATGAGCTCTACTCCTCCCTCCACCCATCTATAGGAAGAATGGCAAATAGTATCATCTTGTTTCCTAGATCAGTCTAGAAATGACTTAATATCTGCATGCATCAGACAGGAAGAGCTACAGTCGACAGACTCTACTACTCTTCTAATGTGGGAAACCTTTTAACTGATGTGTAGGTTTTTAGGGTTGCTGGATAAATTTGGAATTACTAGTTCATTTGGTATTGTTTGATGGATATTAGAACTTATCACATTTTTTTAATGTGTTTTCCATTTGCTGCTACATATAAGTGGCCAAAAAAATTTATTCTGTTCTAGAACATCTTCCAAACTGAACATTGGTGTAAGCAGAAGCAAACCCATTGCAGCCAGTCGGGCTGCACAAGATTACAGTTAGTTTAAAACAGAGGATTCTTTCAGTCCATTGTGATTTTTGGCTGCTCTTTTTTATACTTAGATTTTCAAAGGTGAAAAGTTAAAAGAACATCAGTGAGGTGGAATCTAATCAGTATTAAAAACGCCACTGTTTTTACTTCCCTGAAGGGGATAAGGAAGTTGAGATCTTTTACTCTCCCGGTCTGACACAGAATAGTCCTGTGGTGGCCTGAAGTGATGAGTCAGGTTTCCAGTGTGAAATGTACTGTGTGAAAGGACAATTCGCATACGATTTTGCACAGTTCCTATTGTAGGGAAAGCACATAGCAGCCACCTTTAGCTTTGACATGCTGTTTTTCTGTTTAGCGTGTAATGGTTTAAGCATCTGGCTACAAAGAGGATTGGTATCCTAAGCAATGTTAACAGTGACCTCTGAAACAGTGTTTGTGGATCCATTTTGCTGTCATGTTCTGAAGTTTCGGTGGCTTCAAGGCCAGTAAAATTAGGTCAAGACATCTTAAATGAAAGCCAAGTTTTTATCAATTACTGGTCAAAAATTTAGTTGGTAGAGCTAGATCTAAGCATTTCCTCATCCAAGCTGAATTAGTGTTTGAACTGGTTCCAAAACCAGAATTATATTTGTAGTGTAAAAAAGCTTTATCACTCTAACATTGTCAAATACCTGTCATGCATGAAAGTATTTAATGTTCCTTTAACTTAGAGCAGACCAAGGCTAGCTATGATACACTATTAATCAGGCTTGAAGAACTCTTAGCATGGTTTCAGTGAACCATTTAAGCCAGGAAAATTTTAGAGAAAGTTATGCCAAAACTACAACACAAGTACACAGCAACATGTCTCTGGTACGTTAGTCCAGTTTCTAAAGACAATTGTTTTCCTTGCTGACTGAGAAAATGACCAACACGTTTAGACAAAGGCGCAGGCAGTAGCTTTCTGGGGTCATCACGATGCAGATGGTGCTCATATAATTATGCATATTAAATAAAAGGCAAATTAAGAAAAGCAGAGAGGTAAAACGAGTAGAAAGTATCTTCCAGCAAAAGTCTAATGCATAATCTCAGCCTTAACTGTTCTGAAATATTTGAAATTTTTATATATTTGTATATCTTGTTCCACAGGGCTCCAAGAGGATGTCTGATGCGGAAGTGCAAACAGATCCAGTGTCTATCCTACCTGCTGGAAAATCCAAGTAATGAATACAGGTGGCTGCTGAAGGATCAGCAGCACGCTGTAAGCTCCCTTGCAGTAGAGATGACTCATTATTTTCCTTTACATGGCTGTCATCAAATGCCTGAGGCTAAAGCAAACATTGGTGTATCATTTAAGGTATATCATTTACAGGGTTTGTTCATTAGATGTTAGAAAGCAACTCTAAAGATCATCAAGCAATGTGTAGTATAGTATATTTAAAGAAAGGTCACGTGGATGATTTTAAGTCAGAGGGTAGAGTATGTAAGGTAAGAAAGTGGCAGTGAATTAAATAAATGGCAGAAAAAAACGCATGTGACAAAGGAATGCAGTTTGTGCAGCAAGGCATGAGCAACAAATCCTCAGCTTTGGAGAGCTTTAAAGCAGCCAGGAAAAAAAAAAATCTCCTTTGATAAATGTTATACTTAAATGTAAAAAACAACCAAGTCACCTTTTGTGGCTTTCAATAGAGCTGAAATGAGCAAAAAGTCTGCAGTATAATAGAATCAGTGGTTATAAAGTTATGCTTCATATTGGTTATTAATGTAAATTAAAACGCTAAAACGCAAAGGCTTTACATGATTGAGAGAACTTCTCTCTTGTCTTGGTGAGGTGGGATAACAAATTAAAAACTATTTAAGGTTCTAATAGGAACACCAGGGGGCACCCGCGGCCCCGCCGCAGTCCTAACTCCGAGGCTGTACTTACGATCCTGTTATTAATGTTTTTCAGATGATAGGAAACTTAGTTGTTTTCATCCAATATTTGTTTATATCCATACTTGTTATTAATCCTAATAAAAACCAAAATCCATGCACCTCTCTGCTTCAAAAGACTCCTGTAATAACTGTAGTTAATAAATTTTACAGAAAATGAAGATTTCTGTGGTTTATTCAACCCTGGTCTAACCTGGACAGGGAACCGTGGGCCTGACATTTTAATCAACACTAGCACCTGAATGATACAGTACTGTATATTTTGACCTCCTTATGATTAAATAAATGAATACTTATCCTTTAAAAAAAAAAAATCATTTGCTGTGTTAATCTTAAAACAAAGTTTGTTATTTACATCCCTGTTTTCTAATGATTGATGTGACACTAAGGCATAAACCAACACACAAAACCCCTGCTTGTGAAGTTAATAGCTGTCATTCTTTATTTGAGTAAAGATTACAACTGGAAATCAAGTGAGAATTCTGTAAAATCTGTGGAATTACATTTTGAACTAGTTGTAGAAGACAGAGGTAAAGAGCCTTGTTTCTCCATATGAGCCATTGTAGGTAGGTGGTATTTTTGCACTGGCCTCTGCAAACCTGTGGACTTGCGGCTGACAACCAAAACTTGCCAGTGGTTCTGTGCTCAGAGAGCGCACACAAAAGGACCCTTAGTTACAATAGTACTTTCTGTTCTCCTCTCTAGCACAATGGGCCTTTGATGCCATATAAAGTGATATCAATCAAGAGTGACTGCTTACAGATTTCAAACCTGATTCATAATGACCTACTTCTACACCTGTGTAGGACCAGTGACTTCTGTGCATCTCCATTTACGGTAGAGTGAGAGAAGAATTAGGCTTGTTATATCCAGCTTTGCTCAACAGAAAAGTCTTGGGCATTGCCTACGCTATAACAGTATATAGTTCTAATTAAGTCAATGCATATATAGCTACATATACAGTGAGATAACAACCATGGTTGCATGCTGGTATGGAAGTGCCAGATGTCAGCATAGCGAGTGTTATCAGAAAGGGGAATAAGCTATCATGCTATTTGGTGACTTAATATTGCTGTAATTGCCTCTGTATTAGAATAGTAATTAAGTCATTTTCAAATAAAAATATGCTCTGGTTAATTAATTAGATTATAGACTGCACAGATATTATTATATTATAGATGGTGTAGATATTATTATTATTATATTACAGATAGATCAGGCCTTCCATGGAAGAGGAAAACTCTTCCTTAGTCTGTGCTTTAGGAGCAGGTCTGTGTTGATTGAATTCTGTGTTCCCGAGGCAATTAGGACTGCTGACCATGTGACTTGACTGTATCGCTTGGCAATAGAGCTAATTTCAGGAATCAGGAAATCCTCTTGGCAGAAAAACAAGAAAAACAGTAAGTTTGGCTGTGGATGCCCCTTATGCCACTGAGCTATTACTGCAGATGAAATAACGGTTAGTGTTGGTGCTGCCTCCCACATAGAAACTCCCCGTTTTGTTTGATTCCTCTCTGATAACAGGAACAACACAAGCTTTGAAGAAGCAAGTCAGCCTTCTCATAAAGCAGCAACACATGGAGCCCCAAGAGGAAGAAAAAAGTCTTAGGAGATGCATCCACAGTTAAGTTGAGCTTCCGCATTCCACATGCCATATAAGAAACATAAAAGTACAGCTTTTATGTTCAGGCCCGGTAAAGCTTAACAACTCATTTGGAAATCAAAGCTTTGGAAGAGGCTGCAATCCAAGACAAAGGAAAAGAGCAGCCAAAGCAATACGTTGCATTTAAACTCTGTTGTCAACAAATACACTCTGGTTTTATGCATAGGATCTTTTGAGGGGAACTGAAGTAGATCAGACAGCTTCAAGGGTCTTGAGGTGTGTTTCATGTAGACTTTTCAGAAGAATTTTAAGAAGCTAATGCAATCTCATAAATATAAAAATCCCAGGGAATGGATTAAAATTGTGACATTTTGTGTCAGAAATACTTCCCTCCAATGGACAGATGTTTATGCCCCTCCTTTGTAGAAGAGAGTGTTCCCAGGTGAGGTTCAGGGCTGTGCCTCACCTGTCCCGCTGCCTCCAGGACGAGCCCCCAGCGAGCCAAGCTCACCACGGAAGCACAGAGAACCCAGCGGCTCTGCAGCAGGCTGGGTACTGCAGGTTTGAGCATCCCGAAAGCGAAGTATCTCCCATGAAAGTATATCTGAACTCAATTGTTCTTCTCTGGAAGCTGTCCAGATCTTTAACTCCACCGCATTTCAAGAAGGTTTTCAAAGATAACTTCTGGCAAAACTGCCCTGCCCGGACTCTTACAATGCGCAGCTTTGTAGAACAATGTGATTTCCCATACTGAACAGCCCGGCCATTAATTGTGCCCGCAAACAGCAGCTAATTACCAGCACACACAAAAACAGGTAAATGCACTTTAGCAGCTATTATTTATTTGGTGTAAGCGTTGTCTACAAACCCTTGCCTGAAAAAACCCAAAAGCCTGGTGGTTTTCAGCCTGCCCTGTCTGCTGGTTGTCTTGTGCGTGGCTCAGAGGGGGGATTTATGCCTGAAAATACCATAATTACAGTCTCATTCCTGCAATAAGAGGATCGTTGGAAGTTCCTGTTGGGCCGCTTGTCTACCGAAAGTGTTCTGTTGAATAGAGTGCATCCATCAGTCCCACTGTATTTGCATTGCCAGGGAGGTTTGCAGAGTGATAAACACCTCTGAGAGTATCTAGAAGGCACAACCTTCCTCCCTGTTGACCATGCCAGGCCTATACCTACCCTCAGCCTGCTGTTAAACTGGAGCAGCTTTCCAGTTGTGAATCTAATTAGGATCTTGCCCCTTGTAAGGAGATCTTTGCTTAAGGAGATGGTCTGCTCATACTAAGACCAGGATCTAACATCTGAAAGAGTACCAAGCTGCTTCCTGGGGGGGTGTGTTTCACATTGCAAGTGAGTAGAACAAGTTCTAAGACTACCTTAATACCTTTTTGTATGTAAATGTTTACAGCTGGCTTTGAGGCAACTTATGCAACAAAATGTATGGTTTCCTACACAGAAAAGATAGCTCGACAGGAGATAAGCAGACAGGGTTAGTGCACAGACAAGTTGTGGCTGTGGGAAGTAAGTCCATTTGTTAGGCTAAAGATGGAATAGCTCTAATTTCTGTGTACTCATTTGAGGATATCAATGAAGAATCTGGATTTGCTATAAACTCCATCTCTTCTGGATAACACACCCAAGTCTTTACTGGCAACTTCAGCAGTTCAGCAGTTCTGAGAACACAAAAACAGGAAATTCTGCAGCAGCCTTGACTGGAGGCTGAAGATGTGCATAAATTCCTTAAAGATTGTATTATTTTCTGAAAACAAATTATCAAAAGCCTTGAAGAAGAATAAATCCCTTATCAACACTCTTTGCTTTTACTTAATCGTTTCCTATTAAATTTGTCACCTACTAAAACTGCATAGGAAAACAGCCTCCTGCACAGGAAGCATTAGCGATTTGACTTTAAACCGGAAAGGTACAAAGTCCAAATTCCTTCTTTATCACATCCCACTGTAAGCAGGTGATACAGCATTCAACACTACCCCTTCACCTACCTTTACACAGAGTAGGAATAAGATTCTTTATGACTATCACAATGCATGGGGAATTATAAATACAGATCCTGGACACAATCTTCAGGACATTCAAAACATGACTAGAATTTTGCAGACTCTTTGTTGCAGTACTTCACAAATTTTAAGGATATTTGTGATTTCTTCATTAGAATTGTTTGGAAAACATAAGGGAAGTGTGGATTAAATTGCAGAGTTTTCACAATTTTTTTTTCTGTCAGCAGTTTCTAGTCAATTGGAGAAATAGATTCTTAGTATAAACTGAAATTGTATTACTTGAGTAAATGAGATTGAAGCAACCCAGTGTGTTGAAGCACTGTCATCACAGGAAGCTTTCTCTTTGCAGGTTTTGAGCACTGGCTGTGGCTGTCATAAGTGGAAGCAAAAAATTGCTTGTGAAAAATTTGCTTGTAAAATTGAGCTTGCCTCTGAAGCAATCTTTTTTTTTTTTTCCTTCTTTTTCTTTTTAACTACTAATTCACAGTGTTGGAAAAGCATGTAATTACCAAATGCCCTGTTCCTACACAAATAGATTAGATAACCCCTGATAAGCAAAAGACTGATAGAAATAAGAACATATGTCTCTCTGATAGAACTTAAAATCTTCCTATCACTCATGCATATTAGAAGGCTCAAATCAAAACACTGCTGTCACAATCCCTCTTCAAG